CCCAGGGTCCTGGGATCGAGTCCCACATCGGGCTCCCTGCTCGGCGGGAAGCCTGCTTCTCCCTCTCCCACTCCCCCTGCTTGTGTTCCTGCTCTGTCTCTCTGTCAAATAAATAAATAAAAATCTTAAAAAAAAAAATTAAAAAAAATGGGAATGGGGGCTTTAGAAGAATTGGGAATTGTGATCCCTCTGTACTGTAGAGTACAATGAGGAAACATGTTCTTTCGCATTAGTTAGGAAAAGACCATAGTTTCTACTGAACAAGACTTTGGTGAAAGCCGAGTTTTTATTGAGGAATGTTACCTCATAGATGATATTAAAAACGAAAGGCTTAGATGATAGCTGTACTTGCGGTGAGCAAAGCTTAAGGTGCAAACTTGTTGAATTGCCATGTTGTACACCTGAAGCTAAGGTAATGTTGTGTGTCAGCTATACTTCCATCTTAAAAAAGGCTTACAACCATCAGTCAATTCATCTAACCATATTTTGTTAAAACAAAATCCAGAGAAGCAATTAGCTTTTGAGACTTGGACGTTTTTAAATTATCAAAGAATAAATGTGATTAATATCTCAAGTGTTTTTTTAAAAAATCACAAATATTTAAACATCCTCATTTATCATTCTCCACAGATCTGAGATGTTTAAAATGTGTCCCTTGTCTTTATTTCTCTCTCTCTTTTTTCTTTCTTTCTTCTCCCCTCCCCTTCCTTCCTCTTCCCTGTCCCCTCTCCCTTCTACCTTCTCTTCCTTTCTTTTCTTCTTTAGTTTAAAGCTTTAGGTTCTCCTGATTTTTATTGTGATTCCTTTTTATACTATTGGCTACCCCATTTATTCCTTCTCCTCCTTATATCTTGATGGTGTTCTGGTATAGAATGCTTTTCAGTGTTTGAATTGATTGTATAAGATGGATTTCTGATATAAATGTCGTGCATTCGGGTTTCTCAGCTATGTGCTGGGAAATTAGGTTCTGTTGAGTATCTCTAGACACAAATGGGGCTGTGGATACTGTGAAAAGGATGGGTTGTCCAAGTTTTTCCCTAACTACTCAGCAGTTCTTGACATTTGCCAATTAAAAGCATTTTGAAGGAGCAGTGAACTTTTGTGGGGCTGGAGGGGAGACCCTAGATTGGTTCCACTTTTTTCACACATATGGTAGAACTCAACTATTTGGAATATGGCGGTGAGTGTAAAAGGCCTCTGATTAGCCAAAATATAGCAACAGAAGACATTTTCTTTTCTTTCTTTTTTTTTTTTAATTTTTTTATTTTTAAAGATTTTATTTATTTATTTGACAGAGACAGACACAAAGAGAGCAGGAACACAAGCAGGGGGACTGGGAGAGGGAGAAGCAGGCTTCCCGCTGAGCAGGGAGCCCGATGCGGGGCTCGATCCCAGGACCCTGGGATCGTGACC